GGAGTGGCTGGACTTGTGTGGGTATGGGGAAGAGGGGAGAGAGGTCACTCGTCTCTGTGAGGCCCGGGACTTTGTTTTGTCCCCTGCTGTACCCCAGCACAGAGTGGAACTAGCACAGAGAAGGCACTCAATTGATGTTTGCTGAGCAGACGAATGCCTGGAGTAGACCTCAGAGCAGGGTTTGGTGGCAGGGTGGGTCAGGAGAGAGTTCACTCAACAGCCTGGTGATAGGGGAGAACAAGAGGATAGAGGGTATCCACCTATGATGGGGACCAGGGGTCCCTGCTGGGCAGCAGTGTGGGAGACACATGGATCCTGGCCACACCTCAGCCCTCCCTCCAGCCTGATTACCTGCCTCCCTCCCTTGCAGAGGTTCCGGTTCTGTGGTGATCTGGACTGTCCTGACTGGGTCCTGGCTGAGATCAGCACGCTGGCCAAGATGGTTGAGTGCACAGGGTCTAGTCTGGGTGGAGGAGGGGCGCTGGTCTGGGGATTGTGGGTGTAGAGGATGGTGAGGTTTCTCTAAGGTTAGGGCCTCAGTGCTCTCAGCCTGTGCTACCATGCTTTGTGACCGTGATCAGTGTCTGGCCTGCTCTGAGCCAGTCCCCAGGAAGGAGGCGTGAGGTTCGCCAGCCTGGGTGATGTAAGGACTTCCCTTCCAGTCCTCTGTGAAGTTGTGGCTGCTCTGCAGCCAGGTACTAAAGAGCTGCTGGGATGGGGGATTGATGTGACTACAACACCCAGCACCCCATTGTCCCATGACCTTATGACCGCCAGTGCCCTGAAACTCTGCACTAGGCCCAGGGAGATGGGTGACCCAGTCTGTCGACCTCTCTGGGCACCTCCCATACTTCCTTCCAGCCTGTCTGTTCCTTATCGCAGGACACAGGCTGTGGATGAGGGGCTGGTGAACCGGGGCATGGCACCCTCTTAAGGTCACCTTTCCCCATGGTATGAAAACATCCTGAAGCTCAAGGCTGATGCCAAGTTTGGTGAGTACCCCGCTGAGTCCACAGGCCTCAGGCAACTTTAGGACCTCGACCTGGTGCCTGGTACAGAGGCCCCCCCACCCTTCCCAGCAGCATCCTTAACCTGCCTTCCCTAGTGGAGAAGCATGAGGGAAAGAAAGACATTGACAGTCCCACCTTCCTGTTCTCTGCCAGCTCCTGGTGGAGCAGTAGCAGTGCCTGTGGCTTCAGGGGGCCTGGGGGCTTTGAGCTGAAGTTAATAGGGCAACAGGGAGGTGGCTGGGCCCACAGTGACACCTCCTGTCCCACCCACAGGTCCTTCAGAGTCAGGCGATATGAAGGCCACAGTGGTAGTGCTGAGTTTCATCCTCTGCAGTGCGGCCAAGCACAGTGTCAATGGCGGATGCTTGTCCAGTGAAGTGCAGCAGCTGGGGCTGCCCAAAAGTATGGGTTGTGGGTGGGCAGCTGGGCAGTCTGTGGGCCAAGGGCTG